GCTAGTGTGGAGGGAGAGAGCTGAGCTAGGATCTGCGTCCTGAATACAATGCTGTCATATTCAAGAACAGATGGACACACAGGAGGTGTCTAAGGCAACTTTGTGCAAGTAGCTTGAAGGAGCTTTGCGCGAAGGATTTCTGCTGGAAGGGAGCATTAATACCAGTGGGACGTGGCAAGGATGACAGAATCATAGAAAAGCTTCGGCTGGGACCTCGGTGGGTCATCTGGTCCAACCCCCTGCTTAGAGCGGGGAAAGAAACTAACACACAGGAGATGAAAAATTCCCTTGCATATTCACAGATATAAAGGTAAGTCTCAGCTATACACCAGAAATGCATATCCAAAGTCAGACCTTCCCCGGGTTCCCTACGGTTGATGTTCCCCTCTGGAAGCAATGCTAATTTACAGATTACTGGAATTGCTACTATAATTACTCTGGATTCTTCGCTATGGAGCACAGAGGTTTTTTGCATATCAAAAGCAGGCAAAAGACACACATGACAATCAACCTGTAGCTTGCTCTAAACACACATGCACATCTGATGCACAGTTGATGCCAGCAGAAAACAAAGACAGGAAAAATATTTCTCATGCAAACTGGGTTGGCGGTTAATCAAGTGAATCGTACCTTTTAGAGAGGTATCCTAGCAACTCCCCAGCAGCCACAAGTCCTGGCTGGCAGTGCACACTGATGCAATTGTTCTCCTCCTGCAGACATCAAAACTTTGCAGCTAATCAAAGAGATAATTTGAAACAGGAGACCACGTTAAATTTGATCCAACAAAAGGGAATTTTATAAATGAGCAATGTCACCCAGGGCATCTCCTACGCATAAAGTTGTCATCTCGGAACAAGAGTAGGTCAGGCTCAGTGAAGCCATGCAACTCTGGGAACAAAACCTCCCCTCCTGCAGCTGGCAGCACGATTCTCCTGAAGGCCCTCGCTTTGGTCAGGCATTGGCACAGGCTGCCCAGGGAAGTGGTGGAGTCCCCATCCCTGGAGGTCTTCAATAAACATGTAGATGTGGCACTTCGGGACATGGTTTAGCAGGCATGGTGGTGGTATTGGGTGGATGGTTGGACATGATGATCTTAGAGGTCTTTTCCAGCCTTCATAATTCTATGATTCTGCTGTGTGGATTTTTGCTGTTCTCTGCTTTAGACCACTATGCAGAATTTATTGCTCTTTTCTTGAACAGTAAAGGCTCACCCAGAGCACTCTCTAGAGCACAAGTATCAGCAAAAGCCTTGCTGATGCTCTTCTAGCCATTTGCCCCAAGATGCTTCCCTGAACAAACTCCACCTCCTAACATGCCAGACCAGATATTGTTTCACATCTCCTGACAGTGCAAATAGGCTCTGGGCTAGCTGGGTTAGACCTTCTGTCTCAGGACCAGCAATGAATCAAGTAGCCTAAACACACCCTCTCCAAGCGTCCCCATTTTGGAAGCGTTATAGATCTGCAATTCACCTTTTTTAGGCGTGTATGCCATAGGTGAAGCAAAATCAGACACACAGGATTTATTAGGGTTCTGAAAAATCACTTTTTTTTTGGTACTCTTTAGCTAACTCAAGGATACCACAGATGCAAGAAAAATATTCAATGCATTTAAGGACTTCCCATTTCACTTTTACTTACCACTGTGATGTTCTTAGGCTTTAGTTCAGAGTCCTGAAAGGCATTCCGAGTTCTCCTCCTACAGCTCACATCTCTGCTCCTGGAATACAGATGATCTACTACGCTCCCCCCATACTTCACCGCTCATGGCCTCTCTCAAAGAGAAAAATCCCTATTCTTAAAACTTCCCGTTTTCTCTGTCAGGTGAGCCCTGACACCTGACCACCTTCATCAGATGCTCCTCAGATACTTTTGTTTGATGACCACTCTCCTGGAGATCAGAACCGGAAGACCAGTTTTCCCAGGGCAGTAACAATCTCCCTGAATATTCCACTAAAACAGTTAATCGAACTTTAATGATCTTTTCTTCCTGCAATGGAGGAATTTCTCTCACCACCTTTGGTGGTTCAGAAGGGAAACAAAATGCAACAGATGTAACAGCCATATGATCTGAACATCTAACAAACAGCATCTACAACTGGACATAAATGTCAAATCGTAAACAAATCGTCATCGAAGAATTTGTGGCCTACTCTTTACTGCAAAAGATGGATTCTTTTGCAGCCAATCAAGTGGTATCGAACACTGCCACCGCTAAAAGCAACATGCAGACTATTTGCATGCAGTAGTTGAAACCAGGGGTCAAGAGGTCTACAGGGGATCAACATTCCCAACTGTAAGGTCCACAGACCCTTTTAAGACCTTGCACAAGTTGCTTCCAGTCAGTAGAAAACTTACCCAACAGCAGAAACACTGCTTACAGATGTCAGGAGGACCCAAAGGCTTCCCGCCCCAAACAGAAGATTCCCTCTCAAAGCACTGGCTTCCTACATTTTAACTGTAACGGTATTTGCATACACGTAACTCTAAAACTGGAAAGTGCAGCAAGAGAAGAGAATAAGCTGTAGAGACAGAGATCAATGAGGGGAAAAGGGAAATTATACCTGCGAAATTTTTCCCCAGGAGATCAATCTGTTTTCACCTTCCTAAAAAGATACACTGGTTTTTTTTGTGCAAATCGCCACAGTGTTTGCTTCAGGCAGAGTCTGGTAACAGGATGCGAACACTGGTGAACTGAAGAAGGGGCTGATAATACGAAACAGCTTAGAAACTATACCTTTGTAATGGAAGCAGCAGGGCACATCAGCTCAGCATGATAGTTAGAATTTGCCAGATGTTAATGGGTTGAATTGTAAAGAAACGAAAAACAACCCTCCATACACTGCATGATCCTGAATAACCACAACAGCTACGTTATTGTTTTATGCCTTAGAACCCTCAACCACAGGAAGCAAAATAAACAACTCACTCCAGCCGTATCTTCAGGAGCAAAGCACCGCCATCTAGAAGGGCAGCTGTCATCCATAATTAGGACAAGAAAGTTAAGACCCATCACCATCCATTCACAGACACCCACAGTGTTTACTCGCAGACTTCTCCTACCTCTTACAACCCAGTATTCCCCCCAAAGAAGTTACTTCAGAAGAGTAATACAGATAGTTAAATTCACTGCTGCAGGTCAGAATTGTCCTGATGCTTGGACCATCTGCAAGCAAAATGAACCAGCTAAATTCTGTATTATAACCAATATAACTGGGACTGCAAGCAAGCAGGTGAATGCAAGTTCCTCTTCACTACAGGGCGCCTAGCGAGAACGGACCCCCGCACTGGGTCTGGATCTGTGATTAATTTTCTTTCTGAATGGGCGAGCAAACAAAATTATTACATGATGCAGACACCAGCCTTTCTTTTCAGAAGAGCCATTGTGTTCACAGAAATCTTGACTCAAAGCATCTTGAAATAATGAGAATTCTTCTCTGTGCTTTAGCGTGTTTTGAATCAGGCTCATAGGGAGCATATCACAGGGGCATTTCAAAATCTCTTGTTCTAGTAAGGAATGACATTCAGCTTATTTTCTCAAATGCATCTGCTAAATCCTTCATTGCCTACCTTTTTAATTTGTGTTCTTGGCACCATGCAGTGAATAACATCAGTAGCAGTGTTGCTACCAACCCTTCCTTCCCCTGCCCAGTATCAATAACATGATATAAGAAGTCAGAACTTCGTGTTAAAGATGATCTACACACAAAAATTTTACTCAATTCATTTAATAAAACCATTTTGTTAAAAAAAACGACTTAGTGATGATTGGAATTATACACAGAAAATTCAGAAATTACAAAACATGGCATTATATAATAAATATGAACATATGAGAAGAGTTAGACAAATTTGGTAGTAAGGTCTACAGAAAACCTATGCAGAAGAGAGATCAGCTGTTCCTGAGTGAGTTGTGTTTCTATCGATGTTCTTCTGAGATAACAAGATTGCAGTGTAGAATATTTTCTTTCTACCCGAGCCTGTGCGCTAGCTACATCACTTCTATCCATTTCATGACACTGATGTTACACACGTCTTCTCCTGACACAGCGAGGCTCTCTGAATGCCGAAGAAAACATCTGAGGCCTAAAAGTAGTGCTCCAAATGAAAAGCTTTGTACTGTGAGGATCCTACAGCTAAAAACTACCCCAACACTTCCTATGCTGGCTTGCCAGAGATGCTCACCTAGTAGCTGCTCTGAATGCCAGGGCTGCCACACAGAAGCTTGCCACCTTCTCAGCCAACTCATTCTGCAATAAACAATAACGCTCCCATGCGAGAAATATAATTTTACCTAACATACCATTACACATCAGTAAGTCTCAAAAATTTAGAAAGTGATGGCAAGAGAGAGAGAGAGCAGCCAAAGGGAAA